GGTTCCGGACATGGACGACGAAGAAGCTGAAGGTGAGGAGGATGAAGAGGACGAGGAGGGTCTGGAGGATATCGACGAGGAAGGAGATGAAGATGCCGAGGAGGACGAAGAGGATGAAGGGGAAGATGGAGAGGTGAACTTATAAAAACATGGAGAACTCTTGAAAAGTAGTGTCCTCTCTTAACGTCTGTCCTCTCGTTTCAGGATGACGAAGGAGAAGACGACTAATATCACCTACCAGACCCTTAACCGTCTATTCCCTGTTTATTTTTCCACTCATGTTCGGGAGCAAAGGTTTTAATTTTTTTTTTTTTTTTTTACTTTTATCCGTTTGTGCTTCACGTTCCATTCTGAAGCCTCTTCACCTGCTGATGCCATGTTTATGTTTCTCCTTTGACTCATCCAAGGCCAACTGCACTTTGCCCTGAATTGTGAGTACCATCCCCGAAGACCTCTTTAAAATAATAAAAAAAAATCTTTAAAAAAAATTGAATCAGCACAGCATCCTGAGTAGAATTTGAAGACTATTCACACAGAATTTCTCCTTTTCAAGGTTGTGTGTAAAATCAACTTAAGCCATGGTGTAGTGACCTAGCGCTAGGAGACCTTTCAATTATTATTTGTGGGACGTAGTGCTCACATTTTTTTATTTTCCCCTACGTGGTCAAGGAGTACCAGCTCATTCCTTTGACATGTATTGTTTGGGGTTGGGGGGGTGGAAGCTGGGGAGGGTCAGGAGTTGGTTGGTTATTGAGGAGCGTGGTAATTTTGACACCGTTTCTATGGGACTTTTTTTTTCTTCATTGTATTGTTTTACAAATATCCACAAGATTTGAAATGACATTTTTAATAAAGAATTAAAAAAATAAACTTGTACATTTTTGGCCCTCGGTGTTTTATAGGTTTAAATAAAACTGCATTTCTGGTGTTTTTTTGTTACAATAAAACTATAGAAGTGAGTCCTCAAATGGAGTGCATCCAGATTTATTTGGAAATATTTCTGGGCACCTGGAAATCCTGAGTCCCGTCAGCTCTTGAAGGATTTCGGAGTTATTAGTAGGCTTGATGCGAAGTCCTCTCTCAGTATTCGATGAGTAATTAAAGCCACGAAGGTGTTTTTGGATTCCTCGAATGTGGTTTTAGAGATCGTGTGCGGCCAGTCGCTTGGCTGGAAGGCCCAACCTGGAAAGAAGTAACCAAAGTGCATTTATTTGTATTTATTAGGTCAAACTGATTCATTTAGAAGAGCCACAAAGCTTTGGAACTTCACTTTTAGTTTTCACGAAGACTTAAGATGAATTTTATTAAAGATAATTTCAATTAGTGCTAATAAAATGACTTCTGTGATGTTTATTTAACCAAAACCACTCACTTTTTTAACTTTAATTCCACCCACCTAAATGAGTTTGACACCTGGGACAGGTAGCCACGGTCCAAGAGAACCCCGGGAACCAGGAGAAGTCTCGGTCTGCCGGCCAGTGCTTGGTGACGTCCGCTTTTCTGAACGTGACTACCTCAAACCGGTGTCCGTGGGGGTTCTTCAGGACCTGTACGTGGATCCTTCGGCCGCTGACCTGGAGAGCGCCAGCGGGCTGGGAACAAAGTTGATGTCCGTTCCGAAGGCCAGCTCGTGTCCGCACGTCCTGCACAGTATCAGCGTGTCGGTGCTGGCGCCGGCGGGGACGCACGACTCCGCGGCCCGGTGTAACAAAACAAACGACAGCACAAAGCCCGGCAGCTGCTTCCAGAACATCCGCGGACCCGTCACACGCCTCATCGCTGCGCCGCTGCCTCGAGGCGCACGCGAGAGGCTAATCATGCATTAGCTACTTAGCTTTATCGTGTAATTTTATTTCTTTTCTAGCAGAATTAATTTACCTGAGTAAGGTTGTTGCGTGTTGATGTAGGTTATAAAATATTTATCTTAATCTGAAAATGACGACTTTTAATGCAAGCGTCATAATACTGTGATTGGTGAACTTCACAATCGGCTAGCTTGCATTAGCATTAGCTCGCAGCACGGAAGTGGTATTAAAAACAGGAAATTCAGTTATAGCGTGCGCAAGTGTACTACAAAGAGCGGTTTTTAAAATACTGTTTTTTCACTTTTGTAGATATGTAAGTTATATATATTCTACATTTGAGCTTGACAATTTAGTTTTAAGTGGTAGGGCCTTTTATGGAAAAAATTGATGCCAATTTTATAAACAATGACCTTATTGATTCTTGAGTTTTTGTATGATGGTTACATTGCAACAATAATATTTTTACTAACTACTGCATTTGTATAAAAAAATAATTCATTTAATACATTCCAAGCTGGACAAACTCGTTAAAACAATGTCTTTATTTCGTCTTATTTGAGGCCAAAAGTGTTATACGTGTGCTACATTCAAATTCCTTTCGTAAAATTGAAATCACGACCGATAATCTGATCGCACAAAGGGCAAGTAAAATCTAGAAAATTGTTCCACCAAAGATTTATCAGAGCAATTTAGCTAGTTCTACTTACTTTGATTATATTTATACGTTTTCGCGCATTACTGCGCAGCTAAAATGTGTTTCAATGAAACAAAAATGACTCGAAACGAATAACTCGTTTTCTCTGTTGCGTTTTTGAACGCAACATTTTTCGTCACCCCGGGCAACGCTTACTGAAAACTAATCCACCAATCACAAAGCGGGTTCTTGCAAACCAGCCAATCGGGCGGCTTTGTTTTGTGAATCCTAACAAATCGGAAATTAGTCTCCGAGTTCATAAAACCTGACCTAAAACTTAGCGGAATACATTTTACTTCGTTGTTTTTCGGTTGCTGCGCGTGATCTAGATGTGTTTGTAGCTTTGTAGAAGAATGAAAACCCGAGATTCACTGCCGCCACCGGTTCACGTCCACGTAACGGAGACTACACCGGTCCATGTTCACATGAGGAGGAGTCCCAGCAGAACTTTACAGGTTAATATCTTCTGACTTTACATGTTTCAGTGACCTTACCAAACATTTATGAGATGATTAAACTGTGACTAGTTAGATGTAGTTAAATATTTAACTTTTAACTCAACTACCAGGCAAAAGACCCTCTGGTGAAAGGAGATGCAGGGAGGCTGAAGACCCGGACGCCTTGGATCCCTCCAGGAATTCTGTCCTGCAGAAGAAGCCTGGGATCTGACAAGTCTCAGGTTTACACTCATTCAAACTACAGCATTTAGCTTTGTTTACTACGACGGAGTTTTAGGGCCACACAACAACATTTATTTATTACAAGAATAAAATCATAATATTATGAGAATAAAGTTGCAACATTATGAGATTAAAGTCATAATATTATGAGAATAAAGTCGTAATATTATGAGA